GGACCATTGAGGAAAATCAAGTAGTCCGTAAACCCCGTATATTGGGATAGCGCCTTTTCGCTCCAATCCAAGACGATACTCCCAAACTGCAGTATTTGTAGCAAGTCATCTTTACCAGTGCTAAGAAATTTTCATTTTTTCCCTCCTCCTTGGCTAAGTCTTCCAGAAGTACCCATCCCCTCGTTCACATTTGCTTTTTCGCGCCATCCAATACAAAAGCTTGTGCAACATGCAAAAAATCAGTCCGTGCACCCGCAATGCCCCTTTTTACTTGTATAGGCCTTGTTTCTTTACCCTTTTAGATCCTAAATATTTTTCGTTTGTATCGTCCGTGTTACAAGTCGTTGAACTGAATGGCTTTTTTTCCAATAACTCCAGTGCAATTTCAGTTACATCTAAGGAGGGTGGTCACCACTATTGGCAGACAGCCACAGCCGCGGCAGTGAGGGTGACTTCAACAGCAGTTCCAGGTAGCTTTATTCTCTAGTTTTGCCTTCCTTTGTCATTCACTGCCCTTTCGATAACCATTCTAAATTCGTGGGTTACATTATTTTTGTTTGACTTTGTTCTTCAATTTTTTTCGCATTCCCAACTTCAAACTTTTAGCCCCTTCCTCGCAACTACCATTTTTTGCTACCATTTTTTCGTCCAGCTAGGCTCCCCCACTTTCTTCACGATTTGGGGCGCGGCCGCGGCGAGCGCGGACGAGTCGATAGTGCCCGCGAACTGTGGTGGTGATGCGTTTTCAAATTTACCCACACAGTTCGCGGGCACTATCGACTCGGCCGCGCTCGCCGCGGCCGCGCCCCAAATCGTGAAGAAAGTGGGGGAGCCGTCCGGCTACCGTAGTGGTAAAATAGTTTCGAACGCGGTGAAATGGAACGTTATATGCTGTTAGGCCGACTAAGACGGGAACACGGTGGAACCTTGAGGTGACCTGCTGATGGAATAACTCACCGCCACCATCACCACTCTAGGCATCCGCGTAAATCAAGCGGCGCCTCTGCGATAACGCTCTGTTCGGTGGCGCTCGACAGATATAAGTGAAGGCAACAGAAAAACCACTTTACATCCTACCGCCATGTTGAGCACAAAGAACAGTCCGCCGCTAAACAAAACATTGGTACGACTTGACTAGAGCGATTGAGAGCTGTAGTGGTATGAAAGGCATGTAGAGGTCAGCCGAATGGTGTAAAAGACAGCCATATATCATGAATATGTAAGAATAGGGAGGGGAGGGGGTTGTAATAAATTTTCTAGTGTTCCACCACCAATCTGTGCACCACCCATCCAGTTCATTTGCAGTCTCCTTTCTCTATGCAGCGAATCCATCCAGTTTATTTGCAGTCTCCTTTCATGTGATTCGCTGCATAATTTTTAAAGGGTTCTTCCAAGGCAGGTGGTTGGGCCCATTCTCATTGTAGTAACGGTTGGTACCTACTGTTGAACTCTCCACGAGGTTTTATCTGAACTCTGTTGGCTTACTTTTCGGCATAAGGGCCTTCTTCAGAGACTGAATACATCAATGTAATTTGTAACTACCCGAACTAAATGTCCTCTACTATCCTACTACAATCGAATCCTTAAGTCATGCTAGGTCCTGGTAGGTGCCGTCACCCTCGACATTTTAATATATTTACGGGATTCGCCAGCACACGCATCTCGTGTCCATTGCGCCGTCCTCTTTCTGATATCGGATATCATCCCTTATTTTGCGACTCGGCTGTTATAGTATTCTTTTTTTCAGTCGGAGAAGTAATTCATCTGATTACAAACTTGAAATTGTGGCCTTAAAGCACATGAAAGGATTAGTTGTGAATTGTTTATCAGGACGCGCCCTGCCCCACTTACAGTAAGCTCACACGAGTTTTCTTTTTTCAAACACCTTACCGTTTTTCATTTTGCTTGTAAAATCTAAGCGTCCATTGAATTGTTATTGTCAGTGTAAGCCGCCTTCTTTTTCTACGCCATCTTTGTGGGCTATCTGCCACGTTTGCGCGAAGGCTGCTTTCACTAGTCTGCGCGTCGCGGACACCCGTCCGCACGCGACGGTAGTACGGCAGATGGTTTCGAACAGCGATATCTTTGGCACACATTGCTGGCGCGCCTGAACCACTGCCAAACCAGGGCGGTATTCAATCCTTCCCCCAGGGGGATATATCCCCCTCCTCTGATTCAATCCTCTGGGGGGACAAAAAAGGGTTGCGTCATAGGACCTAGCATACCTCTGTGTTTCTACCTGCCAGACAGTTAGAGCAGCGCTACTACCCTCCACTGATGAAGCACTCTTTCCCCTGAGGGGTCGCGCTGCTCTAACTGTCTGGCAGGTAGAAACACAGAGGTATGCTAGGTCCTATGACGCAACCCTTTTTTGTCCCCCCAGAGGATTGAATCAGAGTAGGGGGATATATCCCCCTGGGGGAAGGATTGAATACCGCCCAGGAGCTAAGTTATCGCCAGCTTCATGCAGGCCTCACCTGCGCGCGCAGCAAATGTGTTGCGAAGCAGTATCGCCAGTTCAGGCCCTTAGCTCAACACCCGTAGGCCTTCCAATATCAACGAAAAAAGTAAAACTTAGGAAAATGTTTATATGAAAGATCTTGAATATTGGATAAAATATCTAGTGGTTCCTCGTATTTCTTTTATAGTGTTTGCTAGAAAAGGTGTATACCTCTCGCAGTGTGCATGTGTCGACACTACGTAAGTAAGTAAATCGAGTTGGCGGGAGTCACAGCACGGCTCCCTCCATTCATGTCCGCCGGTAATGGTCACATTCTTCTTCCCCTGCTTATTAGTTATATTACATTCTCTCAAAGTTTGGCCATCTTTTTCCTTCCACTCGTTAATCGTATGAATCTTTTTTCTATTCTATTGCTTAGCAGGCCGAATTTCCTTATTGAGTCATACTCAGTGATTGCAGTAATTCGCATTCATAAGTAAGTGGGATTCATGCTCCGAAATCATGTTCGCAATCATACTCTGCGAACTTCTAGTATGCGCTGATATTTCAGCGTTTGCTTGAGATAGTGTTGACATAGGAGAGCTGGAGACATGTAAAAAACGTCAACGACATTCAGCCGAAATCGATATGTATGTTATAGACGTAGTCTCGTCTGCTTATGCGCTCCCAGTGGACATCGAGACCGGGCACTTCACTCATCGCGTACGGCAATCGGGACCAACTGCCTGCTTACAACTGCCCCAGGTTTGCAATTTGGATCATTCTCGTCCTAGTTTGTTTTTACAGTTCTCGTAATTCGCTGCAATTGCTGCATAATTTCAATGGTAATGCTTTTTTTGTAAAGGTGGACAGATATTTCACACTTTCTCAAATTTTACACCTTTTTGCAAGTTTTTCTACGGCTAAAGTCTACTTGGTGAGAGAAGTGCGCTCTTCTTCAGTATTCTGGAGCATTTGCATAATTTTAAGTGAAAATCAAATACGGGTCTTATTAACTGTGATCGGGCGTGGTTCACTAGGACAGAAAGCGACTTTTCGCGTTTCGCAGCGCGAAACATTTTCGCTGCGGGAACCTCGGGTCCACTCATGATCAGCGGTGGACCTGAGGTTCCCGCAGCGAAAAATGTTTCGCGCTGCGAAACGCGAAAAAGTCGCTTTCTGTCCTAGTGAACCACACCCACTGTGCTCTAGTAGCTTCTGCATAGTAACTCAGACAACCTGGCTCATCTGACGATGAGTCATGACTAATGTGAAGGAAAACTCACGCAGTTAATGGAAAACTCGCTCACATGCAATCACAACACTGACCTTGTGGTCGTGCGCAGACGTTCTCGAAATAGCTGCCAGTCTTGGGATCGCTGCTCGATCGTCGTTCACCGGTTCTCTCGGACAAAACACATGCCTGAAGATTTATTGCATTTTTCGGCGCGTTTACCTCGAATCAACCGTCTCGAACAGCACATGATGTTTTGGGTAGTGTGGTAGTTTCACGGTTTCGCTGTGGGACACATATTCATCTATGGGGGTTTCCGTGGTGGAAACGCTGAGCTGCAAGTCCCGATGTCGCTTTTTATTCAGTAGCGGTAGTTTCTCAAGAACGTACTGCGTCTCTGTGGAATTAGCTACGGGCCACTTCACGACCGCTCGCCTAGAATGTGTCCTTATGTTAGTTGTACACTGCTTCGGAAAACAAGGCTCGGTGCTAACTTAGTTTCCTGGTGCTAACTTAGTTGGGGGGGGGCACGCGGCGGCGCGGCAGTCTGCTCACCTGGGCTCTCTCGAGCGAGACAGTGTAAACTCGAACATTCCAGCTTTTCACGCATGTCAAGTGACTGCCCTCACCCCCACCCCCTAGACTGCCTACAGTCCCCCTGGCTCACGGATTTCCGAAGTACGCAAAGATGCCAGGCGAGCAAAGCGCCGCGCCGCCGCGGGTCCCCCCCCCCAACTAAGTTAGCACCCAAGGCTCATCGAATGCAGACCACACAACACAAGTGACGGAGGTGCCCAATATACAAATGTTTTCTGCCAACGAAACGATTAGCCGATTGCAGTTGTATTCTACAGTTGTCACTAATTACAACTATCAATTAACAACTATCAACTATTACTTTGAATCACCAGTTACCAGATTTATTTGTTGGCTCTCGTCACATGTGGTGTGTGGTCTGCACTCGGCGCGCATCTGGTTCTCGGAAGCATAGGGTATATCCGAAAGAAAATAGAAATGAAATAGCTCTGTGTGGCAATACAGTATGCAAAGGTAGGCGAGCTGAACTTTTTGAAAATTTGCTCGGACCAAGGACTAGTTTGGGCGTGACCGCTGTGCGGCCGCGCGCTTTGACCCTCATATTCCTATATTTTTCGGCTCTTCAATTATTTTTTTTTCTGTTTAGGTCCAACAAATCCCGCACAACTGCAGTAAAGCCCGCGCAACAGCATCATAAAAGGCTAATGCTAAACATACGTTATCTTTTAGGGCGATGCTCGGCACCTGCACACGGCTTTCCGCGCAGGAAACTGCGCAGACATGCTCGTAGACAGTCGTCTTTGAACTCCACTGATTCGACAGCCATTGAATCCACTGTTAACTGAAGAGGTATTCTTTTATGGCTCTTAGCTGAAGAGAAACGCAGTGTATACACCTGGAAATCCGGCAGTTCGACGAAACATTCGTTGATATCGAGGTAGTCTCCTGCAAAATGAGATGTGTTTGTCAGCCACTACTCATGGTTTTTATTGTCAACGCCTGTTTTTTGGGCCGCGTTTGGCTTGCGAATGTTCTCACAAAAAGCTATGGTACGTATACCATGAAAAGCTGAGTTGGAATGAAATGGTGCCCCGGTAGCGTAACTGGTAGCGCACTTGCCCGGAAAGCGAGAGGTGCGGGTTCTAGTCCCGCCTGGGGCGAAAGTTTTGTTCACAACCCAGCATTCTTGTGAAACATTCGCAAGGCGAACTGCGGCCAAAAACAGCAGTTAACAAACAAAAAACAAGTCTGAATTGCTATGCTTTCCTCTCCTAGCGTTACGTCCCGCGCAGGGTCGCAGGGTCCGCTATTTAACAATCAAAAACAAGTCAAAATCAATTGCTAAAGCTTTCAGCCTTGCGGTTCAATGCCCATATCGGCTGACCGGCTCAACACGTTATACGTGTGGGTGCTGGAAGCTATGGTATGTATACCATGAAAAGCTGAGTTGGGATATTGCAGTTGCCCGGTAGGTTTCTGGCGCTAGCGCACCATTCCCGGTTAACAAAAGTGCGGCGTTGAGTCCGTCTGGGGCGACAGTTTTGTTCGACAACCTAGATTCTTGTAGAACTACTCATAATTTCTTTCAGAAACATTATAGGGTGAACGATAAGTGGTAGGGCATTTCGGCCGTTAGTCGGTTCTTTGGGATTGCGCACACATCTATACTTCATTCAGAAATCGCATTGGCGTTCGAATTGCATGTTTAGAATCTAAGACTGGGCTGGCCAAGTTCGGTCGTTTGACAAGCGTTTTTTATCGCCGCACGCGTCCTGTATATCAGTTTGAGCGACCTGGATAGATGGAGGGCCTGGTGGCCCTGAACGGCGTTCGATCCACATTTTCATTTCCGGACCGTGCGCATGGCAAGCGGTGCCACTAGCCATGACGTCATGGCCATCGATTTGATGGATTAATAGGTATTTCTATTTTTTGTCAGCAATGAAAACACTTCGAAAAAACACGTCAAAAGGATTTGTCACAAGAAAGCTAAAGAAAAAAGCCCAAAATTTCGAAAGTTTTTGCACGCAGCAAACGGTCCTTGTGAATCACCGCCTTCGCTGAGGTTGTTCAAGATTAGGCTTTGGGCAGTGCGGCTTAGCAAAGAAGTGCGGTAAACTGCTTATTTCTCGAAAAAAAGCAAGAAATTTGAGAATGCTAGCATTTAAGTTCTTCAAGAGTCGACATTCCTTCTTAGCACTTTACCACGGAAGGCATTTAATTCTCAATGGAACTTGATTGAGATCCAGATATTAGCGCAAGAGCTTCGAACTCTGGTACAGGTATGGAACTTTATATAATTGCAAAATGAACTGCCAAGAAAGTGTTGGTGAGCAGTCAAGTTGGCGGAAAATAAAGCGTTACGGATTAACCGTGCTGACCTCCGGGCTTTCAAACTCGCCGTAGCGTAGTGGCAGTGCCCTCGCTCCTCACCCGTAAGGTCATAAGCCTCTTTCCGTTGGAGTGCAAATTTCGAGAGCACTACCACTACTCCACGGCGACTTTGAAAGCCCGGAGGCCACGGTTAATACGTAACGCTTTACTTCCAGCCAACTTTGACTGCTCACAACTTCCTTGGCAGGTTCATTTTGCAGTTTTAGTTTCCATATTTGTAATCAGCGTTTGAAGCTCTATCGATATATCTGGGTCTCAATCAAAGTTCCATGGGAAGTTGAATGCCTTTCCTGGTTGGGTACTGAGATGTTTGTGAATATTCGAAAGGAATGAAAGATAGACAATATATTTATTTATGGTGTATTCAATTATTCGTGTGCTCTGGAATTGCACAAGGTATCAGTTTCGTAAGGTTCAACTACTCGACACCCAGGTTCATTTTGCAAAGCCCTTGCGCATTGTCCCGCATTTTCGATGCCGCGCACAGCACAGCACTTCGGGTGACGTCGCTGGCCCTCTACCTTCTGCCTACTTAATGGTTCTTCACAAAACGATCTTTGGGTTGTCGCTTTGAGGAAATGGTAGAAGCTTTGAATAGTCTGAAAGGGTTTTGCCATTGAAGTCGGCCTGTCGTCTTCTTCATGTCTAGCGATTTCTCAGTGTCAATGGTCCACAATTTTAAACTTTACATCAGAGAAACAAAAACTTGTATTCTTCAGGCTTTTCTCCCAGGCCTCGTCAGAAGTCATATTGTATCGCCTTTGCAGATTTGGCCGCTTCCACCAGAAGCTTTGGTCTGAAATGTCCTTTTTAGAGCTTCGGGGTGGTTAGTTTAATAAAAGGTTAAAGATGACGTACTCGAAGTGGCACCTCTCATCGCTCACGCTCCGAGAATTGAAAACGTGGATCGGGTTCTGCTCAAGTCACTGTTTTCTTTCGTCTTCACATAGAAAGACAGTTCGTACCAGATTTGAGATCTTTCTGGGAATGCGTGGGATGGTCAAAAGGCTGCCTTGTTTATCGGATGAGGTATCATTCGTCCTTTTTAATGGTTGCCAAATTTTTCGCTCATTGTCACCCGCGATTATGGACTTAATTGAATGCGTGGCGCATTCCAGAAATAGATTTATGGGTGCTTGTCAATGGTAAATGCTGCTTTTTATGTTAATAATTCGCAAATAGTTGTTCACACATTGCGGCCTGATTCAGACTTGTGAAGAAACAATTCAGTTTTCACATAAAGTGATGATGAATATATTTTGGAGAACGTAGCTGCAAAATTGTATAGACCAGAGGCAGAAATGTCAAAAATGGCACAGTGATGATTTTGCTATAAATAGTTGATGGCGCCCCACTTTCTTCACGATTCTGGGGCCGCGGCCGCGTGCGGAGCGGGGCCGAGTGATAGTGGCCGGGAACTGTGCTGATGGAGTGTTTTCAAGCCTACCCGCACATTTCCCGGGCGCTACCAACTCGTCCGCGCTCGCCGCGGCCGCGCCCCAAATCGTGAAGAAAGTGGGGGAATTCCGGCTATTGGTCTTCCTCGTATTTTAATTACCAGGTTGGTCCCCCGCCAACCGCCGGGACCTTCTTTCACAGCGTACGCTTTACGGCCTAAAATCACCTTACGAAAGCTAATTGCATCCTAGGCCTGTTGGGGGTGGTTTCCGCCTACCCTCCTCGAACACTTCACCCCCCTCTCCTCTCCTTCCACTCACCTTCAGCTGCCACCGCAGCACCATGTGAAATAACTGGAAGTGACCTCAGTAGGTGTTTATGTAGCCGTTGGGGTGTTATCACAATCATGCCATTGCAAAACACTAATAGCTAAAGTCCTGTGAGCTACATGATTCTGTTAGCGGTTTGTTTATCCCATGAGCTTCCTTCTCACTCACTTCATTTTGCGGACGGACACACATACATACATACATACATACACACACACAAACCGACACACAAAGTTAGCGCTTTATAAAATAGAAGGATTCCAGTACACGCTTGTGAAAATTTCGGTTCGGAAGGAATTTTGAAAAATTGTTCAAACATTTTCTAGTCAATCTTTTGTTGATTGGTTGTACCCATGAGATTGCTCCTAGACAACCTTCAGTTCTACTTGAACTGACATTTGGCACTTTCTGTATATTGTTTTCATTTGGCAGAAGGAGGCTGTCGTAGTTGCAGACATGGTTGTAGATGTGGCATCAGTGAGCATCAAGTGCATCAAAAAATAGCGTGATATCGATTTTTTCAGGGCCATCGTCGTGTGCGCCACCGAGCCTTCACCTACAGCAGCCCTCTACCGGCAGCGTAAAACAGATTCCCGCAGTAACTACTTATTGGTTGAGGAGGTAATATTGTTTGATGACAAAATTATTTAAAGGAGGTAGTTTTTTCTCAAAAAAATGTTGGTCATATTATAACTCTGCCATGAAACTTTCCAAAAACCATACTAGCCGTTTCCAAAATAGTACCGATCGTTGAGATGTTTTGCTGAAACACTCCTTCAACTTAATCGAACGAAACGAATCGACGACCATGCAAAAAGTGCTACATCGGCCAGACGAGACCGGAATCGGTTGCGCAACATAGTGCTATTAATACATAAGCTGTCGGAAGAAAAACCTTCACTTAGCCCAAATTTCAAGTTTCTTCTTGGTCTCCCAGAATTCAGCGACTTGCCGTTACAATATTCAGCTCGACCCCTGGTCGAAAAAATCAGGCCATCTGTCCATCCAGACCCGGTTAAATGCTACCAAATTTGTTTGAGAGGGAAAAATACAGATTTGTACATGGGCTGTTCACGAAAGTGAAGATAACATGCCAAATATTAGCTTGTCCTAACCAGGAAGGTCTTTCAGGGCGTGCCAAGCTTTTTGAAAACGGTCTTTTGCATGATATAGGGGCACATGCGGGAACCACAGAACCATGGTTAATTTTCCTGAACGGCCCTCTGAATACCAGAAAAGGGGTCCCTAGTTCGATTCCTCGTGGTGACAAATTTTTGCATTTCGAGTTGACGTGCCAAAATTCGCGCAAAATGGAGTTAGAACCAACCAGAACAATTCAGAACTCCATTTTGCGCGAATTTTGGAACGTCAACTCGAAATGCAAAAATTTGTCACCACGAGGAATCGAACTAGGGACCCCTTTTCTGGTATTCAGAGGGCCGTTCAGGAAAAATTAAACCATGGTTCTGTGGTTCCCGCATGTGCCCCTATATCATGCAAAAGACCGTTTTCAAAAAGCTTGGCACGCCCTGAAAGACCTTCCTGGTAAGTAGTGTCGTTTTTTTTCTAATAGAAATTTCTCCTATGAGATCCTACGCAGGGTCAACCGTCCGTCGAACAAAGTCCAACGAGGGGGTGATGGGTGTAGCGGGGGTGGGTTGTATTCGGGGGCTGGAAAAGAGGGGGGGGT